ATGACGTTATCTGTGCCGTAAGCAGTGATGCACTGAGAAGGATAATTCAGTCGAGCCACGAAGTATGAGAATCCATATAACACAATCAAATGGTGCATATTTCAGTTGAAATCGAAAATGTTACATATTTTTTTGATTTTTCTCGAGTTTCAGGATGTCTAATGAAACCAGCGGCACCACTCACCAGGTTTACATAGTTTTCTTTCTATTTCTGTGCGAATTGGAAATGAGTAATACATATTTTTTTGTAAGGAATATTTATTTTACTTGCCGCAAAAGTTTTTAAAGTTTTCCTCTCAGGCTTTCCCTTGGCACTTCATTGATGCTTTTTCATGTTTGCTTTTAACTCCCTGACAATTTTGTTCTCTTTGTTTTCTCTGCACATCTCTGCTTTCCTTTCTGTAGGCATAATAATTTAACTTCGAATTTTTTCATCAGTATTTGAATATTGCATATTTCTGTACTTTGCTGTATAGCAGCTCTTGGTACATTCCTAAAATAATATTTTGATTAGCGTTATGATAATTATGGGAACTCTTTTAGAATGATCCCAGCTCTGTGTTACTTTCCACTCTTCGAGAATATAACTATTTTTATTTTCGAAATAAAAACAGACGTATGTCGATTTCACGGCCTGGTGACTTCATTCCAAACATGAATTTAAATTATTTCAGTTGTCTTAGAACTGAAGCACTTTACGGCAATGAGTCGCAGGTCACCAGTGGGTTTTAAACTTTTTAATATTTTACTTTACTGTCTTGACATTATTAACTTAATTAAAATGTTGAAATTATTACAAACTTAAAGAAACTGTAATTTTTACTTTTCACGTCTGCAAATAACGACATAAGTATATAAACTTATCACAAATATTCCAGGGGTTGACAAATGTGCCAAGCTCAAATAGCAAAGTAGTTATCCAAAGAGACGTCCACACTATCAATAACAAATACTCATTGCTGACAGTTATAGTTATATCATGTTAGGGGAACAACTTAGCATTATACTTAGTCTTCTCCACAATGCAAAACTAACACAATCTCTACTCTTTAAAAGCACATAAACATCTACTAATATATCTTGTATTATATGGAAAATGCCGATTTACAAGATTCAATAGACAGGATTAGGGATAGCAACTGCATGGTCAATATAATAATTAAAATACCTCTCACACCAATTTATATTTTCAAATATATTAATTAACATATCTACATTTGTTACTACGTTTGTTATTATACTAATGCATATGGTTGGTTCTTAGAAACTTAATTTACGGAATTAAAAAAGAAGTAGAATATTCACACTAAATCAGTTACATGTACTCTTACAAGTATATTTTGCTGTCCCTTCTATATAGATAGATATATTTATATATTAATAATTTTCAAGAAGGAAGTGTTACATACCAAATAAGCAGAAATATTTGCGTAAAGTGCACTTGATGAAATTTAATATACTTTCAATTTTTAATGTTCTAAAGTTTTCATTGAATTAATTTCAAATACCAAACAATATTGACTGTTTTTTGTCGCTTTATTTGTAACTATGGAAATACAATGTGTATTCTTGGAGAGATTGCCAATGTCCATTTTTTGCAATTAAAAATTGCATACCAAGGATATACATTTATAAAACTGTCTACATATTAAGTTTAAAGTGTATGCTATGTATTAAGTGTATTTTGCTAAATAGTTACTATTCAAAATCACTCTCAACATACGTTAAACATTTAAAATATTGACATTTGATGTTATGAGTACTTTTGAATATGAATGCATTTACTTTCTAAATGGCATCGTTACTTATAGTGTAAATAAAGAAAATAATTTAGGAATAAGTAAAGTTTAAATCGAATCATGGAATATTGTTTGTTACATTTAAAATAATATTGTATCTCAAAGAATTGTTCATGATTTACTTCGCATTAGTGCGGACATAAGTAGGATGCTTTAAAAAAGTGTAATCACACTCCTGTTTTGCATGTTTGGCCGTTTCATGGCTCTAGTGCAGATTTGTTACCCATCTTTACCCTATAGTTTCCTCTCTCACCTTGTACAAAACGATCGTGGTTAAAGCCTTGTAAATTTAATCATGAACTTTAACTATAAATTATGGATGTTGTTAAAAAGGTAATTTTGTTTAACTTAAAATTCATTTAATAGCCGTACGGCACCATCTCTTGTATTGTCGCTATGTGAAAACACTTTGACCCCAACCTCTAGAAGGGAAATTGTGCTTTTTCTATCGGGCTTACATTCATTTGTGCCGATCATGAATAAGGCTGCGAAATATACTGCACCACATAGAGTGGCCACTGTAGAGTTTATCAATTATATCCTATTCGTAAGAAACAGTATTTGGAATGTGTTTGGTAGTTGGCTCTTGATAGCGCGTAGGAATCTGTTCTGGAAAATTTGAATCTAGCTGATATTTGTTTTAGCTGCGGCAGCGCAGACTTGAGAAGCATAAGAGTATCGGACACATCATTGATTTGTAGAGATGAATAGCAACATGTATTATACGCTTACGTTTTCTTGAGTCCCGGCATACCTACCCCCACTTCTTTGCCCACATTAGTTGAATGAATAATAAATAATAGCAATGAGCGTTGCAGACAACATATGATAACCAGAAATGTTCGCTCCCATGTAATAGAAACTATTTCGCAAAATTTATTTTGACAAAATAACCAAACTCCCCAACCTTGTCGCAATTAGCGAAGCGAGGGCTCAAGAAAATTTGCGCAGATAATAGTTCTAGGGGATGATATTTTTTAATGAACTTCGCATCATACCCAATCCAGTTTATTTTTGCTTCCTATCTATAAAATTCTATTCTGAAACATTACAGATTCATTCACCAATAATCCACTTTCACATAGGTAAACAGACTTCGCCCCGCAAAAGGTTAAAAAGAAAGTTACCCAGGGAAATTTTCAACCTCCATAGATAGAAACTGATGAGTCTTTTCTCATTTATCATCTCTCTAACCCTAATATTGTATTGAATTTTGTTTTCTACACATCGTATGATGTTATAAACATTATATAACCCTATACAGTATTACCTGCGAGTGTACAGTGTACCTGCGAGTGTGTGTGCTTCGTGTATTCGTTCGTCCGTCACTAACGGTTGGATCACTTTCCGGGGACCAATCGAGACATATGAGGTGTCATTCGAGGTATCTCGGTCTCCTAGTGTGGAGCTGATACTTTGTTTTCGGATCCGGCCATACAATTGTAAGAAATTTACCAAACGTGTTATTGTGTTTTGGCGCTGCGATCTTAGTGGATTCATCGGAAATTAAACCAATGCCATGTAAATAGATCAATGTAAGTGGTGTTCATTAAAACCCTGAACCTAAAGTCAATTTTCACTCCACGACGCCATGATTTTCTTTCACATGGATGGTAACACTGGTTGCAGCCATCTCTAAGTTAAATAAGTGAATCGCACATTACATTTCATTGCATTTCCATTATCGTATTTTTTAAAATAAATTTGCAAACTCCTACTAACAGTATTTGCCTTGAAACTTATTAAATTTGAAAGAACTTCACGTGAATTCGGAGAAAAACCCAACTTTAATTAACGCTAGAGAAAGACAGCACATTTTCCTTCTTTC